CAATGGGCTCTAACCTCAGAAACCTTCGTCAGGTCCCAGACACTATTGCGAGCGCAAGCACCATGCACTGTCAGCAGATGGTTCCTGGATGGGTTAGCGACCTTAGAATGAACATGCATAGGTTTGAGGCTCAGGTCCAGAGTTGCGGGTTTCGGACAAACCTTAAGCCCCGCTGACACGGGCAGTGAGCGAAAAGGAAGCTGCTTGCTCTGCCACGGCGCTCTCCACCAGCGGCGAGGATGTGCCCTAGATGGTTATTGGGCCGGGCGTTGCTTTTTTTCGCAAGGTTAGCAGGTTAGCAGCTCTGAGGCCGTTGCACAATCCGGATGTGAAGGGGGCAGGTAGAGTGTGAGAAAGTATGTTCTCTTGCGGTATCGCCGCTAGGCGCAGTCTCGTGGAAATTGCTAGCGGGGCAGGGCATATATGTAGTCCACCTACGCGTGCTTGGCCTATCGCCTGTTTGCTTTGTGGCCCGGGCAAGCCCTGTTCGACCGATCTATCTCTGTGCACTCCGACTTTCATTCTCTGCTCCTTTCCCGCCCGCCCAAAACGAGTTGAGTGCAGCTGTTGGTCATCGGCTTGTAAATCCGACCCCCAAAGCTCCTAATCCGAAAACCCCGAACCTACACCCCTGAGCCCAAGCCAAAGCAAGAGCGAAGCCTCCAAAAGCTCCAAAACTCTTCGTCCCGAAGCCTGGATCGACCTGCAAGAGTGCCAGCATGGGCTATTAGGCCTTAGAATCCCCCTATAAGGGGCCTTTTTTAAGGGGTTATAGGGTATAATCGTGCACTTTGCTTATGCCAGTAGGAAACGTCGGAAACGTGACATGTACTAAGATTTGGAGCCTGTAGAGGGGAAAAGACAGCTAGAAGGAACCACAAAAGGTACCTTAAAGCCATTTTAAGGAATAGCCGTTCATTTGGGTTCAGCATATAGGTTTACTTCTATAAGCTTTCAAGAACCTTCGAGTCTCTGGCTTGGGGCCGGGGCTTGATAGGAAGGTTCGAGACCCTAAACCCTAAACCCTAAACCCTAAACTCACAAATCCAGACTGACAAGCTTGACTGTTGCGAGGCGTGGAACATGGGGGGGGGGTTAACGAAACTAGGGTACCCCCCCCCCCCCAATGTAGCCCCAACTAGTCTATATCCCCCTTGTTTTTCTTTGTTCATATAAAACCCAAAAGGGCATTAAAAATATGAACTTTATTCGGGTTCTCAGGGGAGTATAGTAGTGGTATTCCCTTAGAATAAGGACCCCAATAAGGTACCCCTATTTCCGGAAGCCCCCAAATTCCGCAAAACTCCCACTGTTCTACACTAGGTGGGCCCTTTGGGACATTGTATGTCTTCCCTTAATTGGGTTTAAGAGGATAATCTTTCGGAGTATGTTTCAGAGGGGCTTAAGGGCCATCCCAGTAGAGTCAGCTTGCGGCTGATCTCTCTTTCCAGCCCCAGACTTCCCCCAGGTGTCATGGTGGGACGCTGACAGCTTTGCTCGGGAGTTCTGTGACCTGGACATCGCCCCACCGGACGGGAGCAAAGCAGCACTTCGGCTAAGGGAAGCATTTGGGTTCTTTTTTCTAGTACAGTTGCTTTTATGAGAACCCTGAGTGCTTGGACCCACTGGGAGGCAAACGACGTTCTTCAGAGCCTGTGCCCTGCCAGGCGGGCACAAGTTCGGGGATTGCAGCTTGGAGCGTATTGGGGGAGATGCAACGCCCTCATGCGCCCTTTAGAAAGTCGGCAGGACTATCGATGGGAATAAACCAAACGCCCGCCCAAGCCATCTGGGACAGACATCTTGCCGAAAAGTTAAGCCCGGGCTTCGATCGCAGAAGAGTTGTTCAAAAATGGATAATACTGGACTATCATTGCCAGAACTTCTCAACAGCAAGCAGCCCATCACACCACGCGATCTGCACGCAAACTCTGGAAGACAGTAGGAGACGACACACGAAGGGGTAATGAAGAGAGCAAACAGGCACGCAAGAGGGCGACACAACGACACAAAAGGCGCAACTCGGCAACGTGCGGCACAAAATCAGCTTTCATACCCCTGATTGAAAATAAAACGAGTCAGAAGGTTGCAGTGCGATAACGCGACGCGCCTGCAGTTTCCGGTTCCTGGTATCTGACAAAAAAACTCTCAAGAAGGGAGACAACAGAGGAGATCACTCTCAACCCCTTGCAATTTTCCACCTCTAAGATGCCGTGCATCCCGTCTGATGCTTTGTACTGATACGTTATTAAGGACGCCATTGACAAACAATCCCGGTACAACCATTCACGAGCAAAGAACCTTTCAGAGGCAGGGGCAAGCACCGAAACTCCCAAATCCCTCAGTCTTGGAACCTTTTTCACCTCCAAAACCCCGCAAAACCTGAAGCTTGAAGGCCTTAAGACCCAAAACCTGCTTAGTAGAGGGGTCGGAATGATTACTAATAGTATCCTCTGGTGGTCCCTTTATAACTAAACTAAAATGACCCCCCAAACCCTCTTCTAATGATTAAGGCCCCTTTATGAAACCTCAATCGCTGCCAGGCTGCGTGCTCTTTGCACGTCGCTGCAGCGACGGGGCAGCATGACGGTGGCAGAGAAGGCTGGATGTGTAGGGTGTGCAGTTTCTCTGTGTCGGGCTTCATAATTCTCGGGTTAGGCGCGCACACACAGACGGAGCACACCGTTGTATTCCACGCCGGTGAGTGTGTGTTCACCTAGGCCAAGAACCTGTCGAGTATAGAAGCATGACTGCACTGTTGACATTGCAAACGAGTGAAACCTGCAGGTACACAGGGTTGATCAGGCCCTGCTAACAGCACAGCTTCGTTGGGTGCACCCGCCCCACTGCTTTGCACCCCCCCTTGCACTGGAGAATTTTTGCAAAAGCCCTACATTGAAAAGGCGCTGGGCAAGTCCTGGCTTGCGGAAATCGTTGCGCCACACACACATACCCTTTCGGGGGAGACATTGTCCGAATGCTGCCGATACTGCGTCGAAGGACGAGTCGTCATCCTACCCTAGATTGGTCACAGCAAACAAACTACTGCAAACCCATGGGACAGCACTCGTACCGGTGCACCATGGTTTGCGTACTAGTGGGTATCCATGAAGATCTGAAGATCACCTGTCCATTTGGCGCCGTGCGGGTCCCTTAAGTCGATGCCCTGAGCGAGCTGCAATCAGCTCCAATAAAATCTATCCCATCCTCATGATCCTCAAACTCGCCAGGCGTGACTCACAACAGGCCTGTGCAATTACAAGAGAGAAACAGCTGGTTGTTCAAACTTAACATCCCTCATCCTCAGCTTTCAGACAAACCGACAAAAAAGAGCCTCCTAGACGTCAAGGCCGGAAAGGCCTTCAGACTCGGCAAAGTGCTGACAACCTCCATCTTCCAACCCAAGCTCTATAAGACTTTAAGACAACAAATGCTGAACAAGGTTTTTGAGTTAGGGATGTTTCAGGCAAAAGCCCGACTCAACATATGCGGGTTTGCAGGAAATCTCGGCCTTTGCGCAACCTTGCAAGGCTGCAGAGAAGGCCAAAGTCGTGGACGAAGTTGCGCGGCGGCTGTCGCACTGTGAGACTTGGGCCAAAGGCTTTGTGCTTCTTCAGGAGGCATAGGGGGCTCAGGCTTTGCAAAGCTTTTGTGATTGTAGTGTGATGGCTTCAGGGTTTGGAAGGCTTTCACGAGGTTGGAGCCTGTCTTTGCGAGTTAAAACATCAACTTACGGATGTGAGCTTGAGTCCAGGCATGAGTGCATGGACGGCTGTGCCCAAGTTCAAGATATGGTGGTTACGAAAATAGGGGACCCCGAAAATAGACCCCCAAAATACTAGGATCCCCTTAAAGTAGGGACCCCAATCAGGTACCCCTAGTATCGTAAACCCCCATGTGTGACCTGAGTTCCTGAGACCCAACTATTTTTTTCGAGTTTCCGGTGCCTTCTCTTTCGAGAAGGCCCTTGGAGATAAAGCTCAGTCGCAGGGCCAACATACAGAACCAACTGAAGCAGTCGCCCGCAGCGTCCAGCCATTTATTCTGGAAACCAAGAAGCCCATTCCCTTGCCTTTTTCGGGTAGGGTTTGGGGTTGAGGGTTGGGTGTTCGAACGACCCCTTGCAAAACAACCTGCTCAAGCAGCTCTTTCGGCTAGTCGTACAGAAGCGTGCAAAAGGCTGATTTCTGAAGATCGAGGTGCCATGTGAGCAGAGTCGCAGGGTTCTGATAAGGACTAGGACCCAGAGAAGGCCCTTATTTCATCTTTTTAGGGGTTGGGGTTCCCTTCTATCCCCCTTAAAACCCAAAAAGAGTACCCCCTTTTTTAATTCCTGAACAACTCCTTGGTCTAGAGGAGGACCTGCAAGCCCTGAAGCTCAGGCTCGGAATGCCCTGCTACCGTGAACCTTTTGGTTGCTAAACTCCAAACCCTGCATCCTGAACCCAACCCAGGAACTGATGGGCCTGTTTATTCTTTCTATTCTTATTGTTGTTATTGTTTTGTTTGTCATTATTGATGTTTCTATGATTCTGATTATTATGATTATTTTGATTTGTTTATGATGATTCTTCTTATTATGATTACTAGCTGACTACAAAAGCAAACGCTAGCCGGTCGCAAAGGACACCGTGGACCGGATAAGGGACATGGAGCGGGAGATCGCCAAGTACAAGGATGGAGAAATGGGTCACAGGGTTTAGGGTTTAGGTTTTAGGGTTTAGGGTTTAGGAAGGGGGTTGAGGCATTCGGTTACCTGCTAAACTGCCGAGTTTTAGGCTTCCGGCTGAGTGACGACTAAGCCTTGTGCCATCTTGTACCCGTTTTAGAGTACGACTTGTGTCATTCTTCGCTTGGACTTGCCCAAAAGGAGCAGCAGGCCGTTCAGCACGAGGAGCAGTACAACCTCGAGTGCGTCCTGAAGCATTGCAACGAAAGCTGGTCGTCTTTGGGCACGTGAGGACGAACATGGTGCATCTAGGATCATCTAGGGACAAGGCGCCCTAAACCCTAAACCCTAAACGCTAAACCCAGGATTTCAATGGACTGCAGAGTCACAATCTACGGTCTGGGTCGGGGGTTGACCGTCCCAGGTGCCACAGCGCGGGTTCGAGGGTTTTAGGGTTTTGGGTTTAGGGTTTTATAGGGAGCCGAGGTGAAGCGTCAAGCATAAGGGAGCGAACAATGAAACGAAAGAGCGAGCTGAATGGTGAACGCAAGAAACCGTCCCATGAAACCAATAAAAGGACAAAGGACCAAGAACTTTGGTGGGTTTTGTGCGTTTAGGGTTTTAGGGTTTTAGGGTTTTGGGGTGTTTTGGGCGTTTTTTTTTTTGGGGGGGGGGGGGGGGGTTGGGGGGTCTTGGGGGTTTTGGGGGTTTTTGGGGCTTTCTGGTGTTTTCGAGTTCATAGGACAAGTGCTCTAGGGGAGCCAGACCCACTCCCTCCATGAACCCTAAGCCCTAGTTCAGGGTTTTAGGGCTCAGGATTTCAGGGCTTGGAGCTTTAGTGCGTTCATTCTAATCATTTTCAAACATCATTTAGTGAATACACCCCGTCCGACAGCTCCAGAGGCAAAGGAACCTTGCAGATGAACTCTTTAAACCAAAGTCGCTCTTGAATTCTTTAATTGCAAGAATGGCGCGCGGGGTCCCAACATGGTTGACCGCCGCCGGCTTACGCCGACATGAACTTGCTGTTTGTCCACGAATAAGTTTCTTTCTAAGGCATAAAACCATAGCTTAACTGAGGCATTTGCCGAAAAATGTCCGGCCTTGTGTCGTAGGCAGTAAGAACTGTGCCAAAGCTTGATCCCAGGATGAGCGGAAAAGCGCCCCTGAGCATCGACTGCACGTTTCATGCCAGAGTCGTGGGTGGCGGGACAGAGCGACGAAAGCTTCCTCCTATACTCCTCCCAGGCCTCTGGATAAGGGTTTAGGGTTTAGGGTTTAGGGTTTAGGGGATAGCCCTCAATCGACCCTGACGCCCCAAAGCCGAGACCCCGACGGAAGTGACCTTCAAGTCGTATGGGCCAACTGCCATTGCGCTGTGTCTGCCCATCGCCGGCCGCCGGAATGCTTGCCCAAGGAAAAGAAGCTGTCAACTTGACAACCCCGAACCCCGAAAGCCGACAAACTGCTCAATACATACACCCTGGAACAACACTATGTCCCCCTTAGGAATTATTTGTTTTATTCAGGTTCTAAGGGGAGTACTTATAGAACACTGAACCTCGACATCCTCAAGCTCAAGCTTGGCATGCGGCGGGGAGGTAATGAGTTATTGGTTTTGGGAAATCAGGGTAGCGGCCGTGGAGCCCCAAAGTGACCTTGAACCCTGCGCCAGTTCTGGTCCAGGGCTTGTCACACTGTTCTGCTTCAAGTTCGGCAACTTGGACTAGATAGGGTTCCACAGCCCGCCTCGACACTGAGTAGTTGTCTTGAACGCGCACTCCTTCTTCGAACCCAGAACGTGTCCAAGGTTTTGTGCGCTTTCATCTTGGGCGTTGGGCCGCATTAGGTGTTCTTTCTTTCTCTTGACCCAGAAAGACCAGACCAACCATTCCTAAACGGTTCAACTCCCTCTAGAAGTCCAGAAGCCCTGCAGTATCTTACCCTGATGGGTTGACCTCTACGAAACCGCGGGCTAGACATCTTCGCAACCCCGGTTAGCACATCCAACCCCCGACCCAGACTAAGTATGAAGTCCGTCAAGTGCGTGATAGGAGACTGCTCCATGGACTTTGGCACTGCTTCCACCGCCACTGCCCTGTCAGAGGCGTGCCTTGTAGCATGTCGTTAGGCTGCGCAGTGGAGATTTCGGAGCCCTGAACCCTAAACCCTAAACCCCAGACCCTAAACCCCAAACCCTAAGCCCTAAGCCCTAAACCCTAAACCCTAAACTGCCATGGGATGTTGGGTTCTTGAACCTTGGAGCTGTCACGGAGAACGATCTCTCCGGAGCTGGTTCAACAAAAATGGCCCCAAGTACACCCAGCTGGAGCTTTTGATTCCTCCCAGGAATCAATCTGGGGGTCCGGCCGTACCGCCTTCCCAGCGAGCCCATTACCCCTTAATTAAGGAATTTAGCTTAACTTATAAAGGGATCCTTATTCTGATTTAAGGAATATTCCTTAATTAAGGGGTATTGGGCTCTTTGGGTTAGAGCGACAGGTCCAAAAACCGCACGTGCGCCAAGCTTCACGACCCTGGTGGGTTGTGCAGATCATGGGTGGAGCTTCTGACTTCAGGGGGGTCTCTTATATCCTTCTTGGGAATTATTTTTTTGTTTAGATAAAACCCGAGAGGGTATTAAAAATATTTTTTTTTTTAAAGGTTCTAAGGGGAGTATAGTCTCTAGTGGGGGGGGTGTAGGGTTCCGGAGCTCGTGGTTTAGTCGGAGATTGCTCAAGATTAGGATATCCCCGAGCCCTTGTTGCAGATGCCCTGCCAGGCGGAGGTGGAATCGGTTCTTGTGACAGCCACCTCTGAAGACGCCTTTTCGACATCAGCCTTCCTTCGGCCTTCGGCGCCTTGAGCTACTCGATAACCCTGCACCCCCGATACCCTACGGCATCCCTGAGGCCCGAAACACGTCGATTTCGCTCGGCACTTACAATATCTCAACATGCCTGATGACCAAATCTTATGCTAAGCCACCAAAAAAAGAGCCACTGCCAGGTTTGGAACAATTTGGGCAGGGGTTTCGGATGTCCTACGGTTTCCTACGGCTGCATCGTCCTACGGCTGCACCCCTCCAACCCTAGAAAACAAGGCCATGCCATCATCATGCAGCTCTTGCCTCACCTATGAAAAGCAACGTCTTTAAGCTGTCGTATACAAGAAATCGATGCACCCAAGTTAGAGTTGGGGCGCTCGACCCTAAACCCGAAACCCTAAACCCTAACCCGCGTTCAACCCCTGGACCGCCAAGAGTTCAGTTCAGGGCTTAAGGCGTGCTTAAGGACATGGCCAGCGTGCGCAATTATACTCTGTAGCCCCTTACAAATAGGCCCTTTTCTCGGGTTGATTATGGTGATTTTCGGGCCTCATGGCCCATCCTGGTAGGTTAATGTTTTAAGTTTAGGGCAGGCCACGAATGGAAGCCTTGATGTCTGAGGAAACCTCGAAAGTTCGTAGCTGAGTAAACTCCGTCCAGAGGACTGGAAAGTCGGCTCCCACCTCGCCCGGTTTCCTTCCTGCATAATAATAATAATAGTAGTAGTAGTAGTAGTAGTAGTAGTAGTAGTAGCAGCAGGAGTAGTAGTAGTAGTAGTAGTAGTAGTAGTAGTAGTAGTAGTAGTAGTAGTAGTAGTAGTAGTAGTAGTAGTAGTAGTAGTAGTAGTAGTAGTAGTAGTAGTAGTAGTAGCAATAGCAATAGTAATAGTAATGGTAATTGTAATGGTAGTAATAGTAACAGTAACCGGCAAATCCTACCAGCTTTGGTGCCGGATTTCTGGTGAGAGCCGGATGTTGCACAGATTGCGTAAGGATCTCAGCTGCTCTGGCTTTGATGGGGCTTTTACAGTGCATTCGGACTTCGCCCTCCAGCCGGAGGAGATTGCTCTCCGGGTCCAAACCTTGACAACACAATGCTGGCGCATGGCCACATAGAATCCTCTAATGTCTTCGTACTTCTTCGTCGTGGCCTTGAAAATTGTTAGGTGTCTGAGATCAGACGTATCTAAGCATCCAGGACTTGAGTGCTTCTTCAGCTCAGGATTGGCAGCAAACTGCAAAGCTTTAGGTTCACAGGGTTCCAGGTCCTTGCGCAGTCGCAGCTGTAGCGTCGCCAGCTGAGAAAAAAAGCCTCCGAGACCCTAAATCCTGCAGCCTAAGTGTAGAGTAACCTGATGTCCAAAGTAGGAGTATGCTGACTTACGACATCCTACGACGCAACGCGTCAAGTTGCGGGTGCTGTGTAGCGTGCGTGGGAGTACTTACAGATGTTGTGTATATGCACAGCATTGGACCCAGCAAAGAGGGGCTTCGGTCCAAGCGCTACAGTATCGGTGGACTGGGCGCCATGTGCATTGTGCTTGCAAGCGCATGTAACAGGCTGGCCAGCTATGATTTTTGCGGGACTTTCTCAAGTTCACCACCTCTTGGTCGCCTTCTTGATGGTATTCCGGGAATCCCTGTGTAATGCGCGAGCCGACACCCTGACAGTGTAGGGAAGGTGGCTGCATCAGCACTCCATGGGTCAAGACAGGCTTCCATCGCACAAAGCCCACTCGCTCTGGTTTCCAAATCTTGAAGAAGTCACTATATGTGCAGGTGAATGTGGTTGCAAGGCTTCTTAAGAGGGTTTAATTGCAGACAAGTTGCAGCATAAATCCCATGCCTTAGACCCTTAGGAGGGAACAGGCGAGGACTCGTGATCTGGGTGTATGGGGGCATAGGTGTGGGCTTTGAAAGCGTGCCCCCAAACTCCTACTTGAACTGGCCTTGCGCCCAACACCTCAAAAACCTACAGCTGACTGCAACGCCGTGGCTGCAGCCTCTTGTGTGCCAGCCCCGCAAAAGCACAAGACAATTAACGCCAGACCTCCATACTCATTACCCTCCACTGCCCTCAAGTAACCTGCATTAGTGGATAACTTCAGGGTTTGGGCATTCAGTGGCTGACTGGACAAAGAGATTGGCAGCCAAGACCCAGAAGCCCAAAAACATTGTGAGGGTTATATTAGGAGTACCTTACTGGGGTCCTGAATATCACGGGATCCTACTACGTGGGGGTCCAGATAACTTTATCCCCCTTGGGAGTTGTTTTTGTTTATTTGTTTATATAACACCCAAGAGTATTAAGGTTCTAAGGGGAGTATTGATAAAGGGTTCCCTATGATCGTAAATCCCCTTGTGTTGAAACGACTTAAAGCTCATCGTGGATGCGGCTGCCCCTGGAGTGGCAGCGACTCAAGGAAGAGGCCCTTTGCTTGTCGGCTTTTGGGGGTAAGGACGCG